TTAACTTTTATTATATTTTTGGTTTCTAAGACCAACCTCCCTCCTTCTTTCCTTGGCACTCAATGTTTCACGGATATATCACTGTCTTTTGTCACTTTGAGAAGGTAATTTTTGGGATGTTTTCCTATTTTTTTTTTTAAAGATTTTATTTATTCATGAGAGACAAAGAGAGGCAGAGACACAGGCAGAGGGAGAAGAAGGCTCCACGCAGGCAGCCCAATGTGGGACTTGATCCCGGAACCCCAGAATCATACACTGAGCCAAAGCAGACGCTCAACCACTGAGCCACCCAGGTGTTCCTGTTTTCTTATTCTTTTTCCCTCTTATTCTCTTTTCCTTAAAAGGTCTTCTTCCCTGGCCTAGTTTTGTTTTCAAGTCAGAGGCTTTCCACAAGTAGCTAGTGATTTTTGGCTTTTTTTTTTTTTTTAAAATAATGAAAAGTGAAGCATAAAAAAAAAGTATAGTTAGTAAACATCTAAATGGTCTGATACAAGCAAGGTACCTGCCATTTCTTTGGTAAAACCCAAATGTCCAAGACTCTAGCTCTTTCTTCTTGGGCATATCAGTTTCTCCAGAGGAGAATCCTGTTATCTTATACTCTCAACATTCTGGAAGCCAAAGAGTAAAGAAAAGAGAATTGAAGGGAACAAAGGGAGAGAGGAGAGTCTCACCACTCGACATAACACTTTCACTTAGTTCCTTAGTTCCTTAGTTCATTTGTTGTATTTGGAGAACCTGAGTTCTGAGCCTAATTCAGTTTCTTCCATCTTTGGATAGGTTGAGGAGGATAGTTAAAATCTATCTATTCCTGATGTAAACTTTCATGGCATTCTCCCATTTTAAGCCCTTTTTCCTTACTCTTGCTTTCAGAGTGACCCAAATGACTCCAACTACTGAGGGTTTCAATCCCTCTCCACAGGTGCTTAAATTTCAGCTTTGTTTGCTTTGCTGTCAGTCTATCTACTAGTTTTCCAGTATCTATCAATCTGTTGCTGTCTCTTGTTTGCTGTTGTCTCTTCGTCTGTGTTTGTTTTTACATTTATTTCTTCACAGTTGGTTTAATGAGATTAGAAGGGAGTAGGGATAAACACCTTTATTCATTCAACATTGTTTATGGACTACTCAGTATGCCCTCAGAATTATTACAGGCCTCTGGGACACAACAGTAATAGACAAGTACAGAAAACAAAACAAAGAATAACCCTTTTCACAAGATACACAAATTAAAAAAAAATACAGGTATTCCTTATCAACTGAACTATCATTCTCTGAATTTAAGAGCCAAATAGCTTTAGAAGCATTTTTAGAAAGTCCTTTGTTATCTTAATGTCTGCTACTTTCTATCTGAAACTCAGGTACAAAATAGATTAGATATCCCTTAATATTTCAATTCATTACTAGAATTAGTAACTTAGGGGTCCTTGGGTAGCTCAGTCAGTTAAGTGTCTGCCTTTGGCTCAGGTCATGATCCCGGAGTCCTGGGATTGAGCCCCCCATTTGACTCCCCATTCAGCAAGGAGTCTACTCTGCTTATTCCTCTGCTCATGTTCCCTTTCATTCTCTCTCAAATAAATAAATAAACCTTTTTTTAAAAAAAAGAATTTGGAACTTAATAGATTTAGAAAACCAGGGATACTTGCATATGATTTGATAGTGATGAGAGCACTAAAGAAAAATAAGCCACAACAAGAAGTGGGAGTGGGTAGGAAGCCAGGGAAGGCCTCTCTAATAATAATAACCAAGTGGATATCTGAGAAAAGACAAAGGCATTTCATGTATAGGTACCAGTTAATGCAAGGATTCTGAGCAAGGAGAGTGCTTGCCATTCTTGTGGAATAGCAGGGAAGAGTGTGGCTGAAGTGGACTGAATAAGTAGGAAAGTAATAAGGAATGATGGCAGACAGGAAGCCAGGAGTCCGATGATATAGGACCTGTGGACTATGACAGAGGCTTGTTTTATTTTTATTTTTTTAAGATTTTTATTTATTTATTTGAGAGAGAAAGAGAGAGAGAGAGAGAGAGAGCATGAGCTAGGGGGTGGAGCAGAGGCAGAGGGAGAGAGGGAAGCAGGCTCCCCACTGAGCAGGGAGCCTGACATGGGGCTTATTAATCCCAGGACCCTGAGATCATGACCTGAGCCAAAGGCAGCCACTTAACCCATTGAGCCACCCAGATGCCCTGAAGCTTGCGTTATTCTAAGTGAGACAGGAAACCATTAGAGGCTTTTGAAGGTTGTGTTTTAAAAACATCACCCTGGCTGCTAGGTGAAGAACAGACTATAGAGGGGGAGGCAGAGTGGAAATGGTGAGACTAGTTAAGAGGCTACTATGTTAATCCAGGTGAGAGATTAGCAATTTGACTAATTCTTTCTAATGGAAATGATAAAAAGTAGTCAGATACTCAATTTATTTTAAAAGTACAGCTGACATGCTTTGTAGATATGGAAGGTAGGGGGAAAACAGTTAAGTATGACTTCTAAAGTTTGGGGCCTAAGCAAGTGGAAACCTGGGAGGACAGATTAAGAAGGTTGGTGTAATGTGGATAGATGAAGAAGGAAACAAATACTTGGTTTTCATAAAGAAGTTTGAAATATCTAGTGGATGTCCAAGTGGAAATGTAGAAGGGGCAGGTAGATACATAAGGATGGATCTTAGTGGAGAGATCTGGCCTAGATATATAAAAGTGGGCCTAGTCACCATATAGACAATATATAAAGCCAGGTGACTACATGATATTTCTTAGGGAATAAAAGTAGGGAGAAAAGAAGTTTGAGTAAAACCCTATGATAATTCCATAACTGACTGGTCAGGAATGTGAGAAATTATTATTATTATTATTTTTTAAGATTTTATCTATTTATTCATGAGAGACACAGAAAGAAAGGCAGAGACAGGCAGAGGGAGAAACAGGCTTCCCATGGGGAGCCCAATGTGGGACTTGAATCCAGGACTCTGAGACCACAACCCGAGCCAAAGGCTGATGTTCAACCTCTGAACCACCCAGGCGCCAGAGAAATTTTCTTAAAAGAATTAAGAGAAAATTGGGTTTTAGAAGTTAAGAAAATGTTTCAAGATGTAAGGAGTGACCAAATGTGCCCACGTTGCTAAGTTGAGATAGGAGATATGGTCATTGGATATGAGAACTCGTCATTGGATTTTGCAAGATGGAGTTATTGGATGTCAGTGGAATGACTGGGGCAAAAGCCTAGCTAACATGAGTTCAAGGCAAAATTGAAAGAGAAGTAGAGAGTAAGAATAGACAACTCTTTCAAAGAGTTTTTCTTTAAAGGGAAGCAATAGCTAGAGGGGAATGTGGGATCATATGAGTTTTTGTTTTTTTAGACTGAGAATTAGATTTGTATTCTAGTAGAAATAGTTCAGTAAAGGAAATATTTAATGGTACATGATTAAGACGACAGATAGAATAACTAGAGAAATAAAGTCCTGGAGGCAGAAAAGAATAGGATAAAACACATAGGAGTATTTTTTTCTATTTTTCCAATTATCTAGGAAGAAGGGCAATAGGATTCATTGCATTGAAAAACATTTTTGATAATAAATGTATATAAAGATTCAATCAGAACTACAAGTTTCTGTGAATTCTTCATCAGGACAGTAAACAGACTCATATTCCAAAGTTCTCTGATTCTTAATTAGCCTTACTGAAAAAGACTTATGACATATTTATGACAGATTTTCATAAAAAATTCTTCAATCATAATAAACTAATTTCAGGACCATAAATATAAACATGAGGCTTTTTAATCCTCATGATTCTCTGTATCATTCAGAAATGAAATAAAGTGAAATATATGGTTTAATATGTATTTAAATGTTTTCTTTTCCATCTTTTAAATATTTATACTTTTTTTCCCCATTTCTCTCAAGTCCTATCATTAGCAGAAACGTTTATCATTAAGACTCTTAATATAAATCAGTATGGACCTAATTTTAGAAAAAAACTTCCCAGACTATTTTTATCAATGAATGGCCACTAGCTTAAAGTGGCCATTTTCATTCATGTCCAACTTTACACACAATCTGGAAGAGAAGGATGCCTTTCAAGCTCCAGTATTTCTTTTATCTTGAATTTACACTGCCTTTTTAGTCTTTATGGGCTTCTTAGAGAAATAAAAAATCAAAGCTAATGCACCCAGATGATCTGAAAATAAGTAACCATAGTAGCAAACAACTTCCAACAAACAACTTGATATACTTCGAAAACCCAGACATGCTGTAAAAAAAGAAACCAAAGGAATGGGAGACAGTTATAAATGCTGACTTCAGAGAGTAACACCAGATACTAAATGGACTTGAATTCTAGACTGCCCAAATTGCCAGGTGAAGAATAGAAAGAAAGCAGTCTTTCTAAACCAACAAGAGATTTTTGTAATGCTTTCTCCTCATGAGTTTTCAGGAGACTAGTCTAATATTCACTTCCATTTTCTAATCTGTTTTCTCATTTATATTGGCCATTCATTGCTTCACGGTGCTTTTATCATACCCCAAATACACTGAATTTGGGTGAAATTTAAAACACTGCCAAATTATAACCATAAGAGAAAAAAGGAGGGAGGCAATACTTAATAACCACCATCTTAATTAGCCTGAGAAACAATTAAAAAAAGAAAACTATAAGGGGAATAATGATGTTAATGAACAGTATTATCTACATATGTTAATCACTGACCAGGTTCTAAGCCTCTGAAATTCTAGGGGTATGTTTCCCCAGAAAAGTCTAGAAAATGAGTTTGATTTTTTAAATTGTATTGTAACTTCAATGAACTTCAATTCTTAACCAGAAATGATACAGAAGCCTGGTTACTCCTGAGAGAAAGGCAGAGTAATTTTAACTGCACTCCTGTTTTTAGCTTAATAGCATTAATAAAAAGTGCTCATCCAAATAAATACCATTATTTATATTACAATAATAATACTTAACAAGTTAAAAGATCATATTTTTGTAATTTATTGATTCTTTATTTGGCTAAAACGGCTTACCTGGTACAAAATATTCTGTCTGCATAAACCAGTGAAATTCCAAATGAAATCCCAAGTGTATGGCCTTATAGGTGACAAGGAAAATCAAATAGAGAACAGACACTGTACCTGTGAGAAAAAATTTAGCAACCATTTATCATCTTTGTGTGTTTTACAGACTGTTTTAAAATTAAGCTTTGGGGGGATCCCTGGGTGGTGCAGCGGTTTGGCGCCTGCCTTTGGCCCAAGGCGCGATCCTGGAGACTCGGGATCGAATCCCACGTCAGGCTCCCATTGCATGGAGCCTGCTTCTCCCTCTGCCTGTGTCTCTGCCTCTCTCTCTCTCTGTATGACTATCGTAAATAAATAAAAAAAAAAAAAAAAATAAAATAAAAAAAATAAAATAAAATAAAATAAAATAAAATAAATAAAATAAAATAAAATAAAATAAAATAAAATAAAATAAAATAAAATAAAATAAAATAAAATAAAATAAAATAAAATAAAATAAAATAATAAATAAAATAAAATAAAATAAAATAAAATAAAAAAAGCTTTGGGGCAGCCCTGGTGGCTCAGCAGTTTAGTGCTGCCTTCAGCCCAGGGTGTGATCCTGGAGACCCAGGATCGAGTCACACGTCGGGCTTCCTGCATGAAGCCTGCTTCTCCCTCTGCCTGTGTCTCTGCCTCTCTATGTCTCTCATGAATAAATAAATAAAATCTTAAAAAAAAAAAAAGAAAAAAGAAATTAAGTCCAGTCATTATGGAGTAGAGTCAGGAAATCCAAGTAGGTTTCTCTCTATAGGAATTAGACACTAATTTCTGTAAAGAAGCTATAATTGTAAAAGAAAGGGAAAGTACCAAAAAAAAGAGGGGGGGAAGCAAAATATTCTTAAGGAGATAGAGAATAATCAATCTGGTTACAACTCTGGTGATTGTTTTAGCAAATACTTTACCTGTTTATATGCTAACTTAAAGAGCTGTTCCACAGGAAAGTCAGCAAGCAAATCAGGAAACCACAAATGAGCTATATAAGCTCTCCGTGGGTTTGCAGTTCAGCTGATTCAGAAATGATAAAAACAAGAGGCCAAAGCTTATATAACCACAATGCTTGATTTTCTGTGTGTGTCTGCGGCAGTCTTGCAGTGAATCCTATTGTGACACAGAGAGATATAGAGAAATATCCTTACCTCCTCCTTTGGTCTTCTGGAAACCTCAAAAGCTACCTCCTTGATATGATGAGTAATCTAATTATTTTATACTCTACACTGCCTACCAGGAGATCAAATCTATAGGGAGGAGGTGAAACCCTATGGTTTATGTGGGGTTATCAATTTTTTATGAACGTTATCTTTAGTTAGCCAGATCTAAGTTTCTTCTTTTTTTAAAATATTTTATTTATTCATGAGAGAGAGAGGCAGAGACACAGGCAGAGGGAGAAGCAGGCTCTATGCAGGGAGCCCGACATGGAACTCGATCCCGGGTCCCTGGGCTGAAGGCGGCGCTAACTCGCTGAGCCACTCGGGCTGCACCAAGATCTAAGTTTCCACTGAGGGTTCCTTTTGCCATCTTAAATTTCAGTATTACAAAAGAAGACAGGATCAAAACATTCCTTTAATGATGCAGAAATTTGTGAAATTTCTTCAGTGACTTCAGAAATTTGAAAAACCAGGCTCACAGTAAGAAGTCTGTTCCTTTAAAGGAGGTAGTAGTGTTCCAAAAAGGAAAAAGCACTGAGGAGGAAAGCAAAAGCAGAATAAACCTCAATCGGTTGAGTTAGACAGAGAATGACATTCCAGGTTGAAAGCTAAGTGATAATTCTGTGACATACTCTTAAATAGAAACTAGGAAAAAATATTCTATAACCTCCTTTAGTAAATATTCTTATCTTACGCTTTCAATCCTTAGTATTGAGAATTCCTGTAATATCCAATTTGGATCTCTCCTCCAGAAAACTTCATCTGTTTCTTCTAAGTTGTACCCACTAAGGAAATGGGGAACAATGGTTCAGTAAGGATAGAATGGGAAATCTAGTAACTCATCTTTTAAAAAAAAGAACTTGGACTTTAAATGGTCATCTACATTTTTCTCTATGCCGAACTCCATAAAGAAAATAAAAAAGCAGGGTAACATATGAATGAACAAATTAAACATAGGTAAACAGGGCTGGTAGGTAAGTCTCTCCCCAGCCAGATCATATTTCCACAGAATCCAGTGTGTATTCTATTACACAGAAGCTCTATAACACAGTGCTTCAGCTTACCTAGGATATTAAATTTTGAAAAAAATGAAGGAGATTTGAAATTGAGCAGTGGCAGGAGGAGCCCTATGAGGTAAAAGGGCACTGTCTTGGACTTATTCCACCACTTTTCAAACTGCTGGAGTTCTGTGTCATTGGCGTAGAAAATCATAGAGCCATTTTCAGGACTGCCACCACTCCCAGCACTTGGACAAATCACTGCAATAGGAAAAGCATCAGATTAGAGAAGACCATGAAGAATACAAAATGACTATCCCAGAGACTGACACTTGCTCTACCAACCTCAATTTGTATCATGAATAAGTTTCTCCTTTCTGGAAAAAATAGAAGGTTATATTTAAATATATTAGGAATCTTTTACCTACAAATAATTAAAGGTAGGAGAATCTTAAAAATTTTTGAGGTATATCCTTAATTTCTATGGGAAGCTATAAAATTATCCCACCAACTATCCTTTGGTTCCATTGCCAGAGAGAAAATATTGGGTTGAACGGCATTTGATCTTATTTATACAATAATGTAAGAAATATTCAGAGTAACTGGTGCAGCCACTCTGGAAAACTGTGTGGGGGTTCCTCAAAGAGTTAAAAATAGAACTGCCCTACAATCCAGCAATGCACTGCCAGGGATTTACCCCCAAAGATACAGATGAAGTGAAACGCCGGAACACCTGTACCCCAATGTTTATAGCAGCAATGTCCACAGTAACCAAACTGTGGAAGGAGCCTCGGTGTCCACTGAAAGATGAATGGATAAAGAAGCTGTGGTTTATGTATACAATGGAATATTAGCCATTAGAAATGACAAATACGGGATCCTTGCGTGGTGCAGGGGTTTGGCGCCTGCCTTTGGCCCAGGGCGCGATCCTGGAGACCCGGGATCGAATCCCACATCGGGCTCCCGGTGCATGGAGCCTGCTTCTCCCTCTGCCTGTGTCTCTGCCTCTCTCTCTCTCTGCATGACTATCATAAAAAAAAAAAAAAAAAAGAAAGAAAGAAATGACAAATACCCACCATTTGCTTCAACGTGGATGGAACTGGAGGGTATTATGCTGAGTAAAATAAGTCAATCGGAGAAGGACAAACATTTTATGGTCTCATTTGGGGAATATAAAAATTAGTGAAAGGGAATAAAGGGGAAAGGAGAGAAAATGAGTGAAAATATCAGTGAGGGTGACAAAACATGAGAGACCCCTAACTCTGGGAAACGAACAAGGGGTAGTGGAAAGAGGGGTGGGCTGGGGGTTCGGGTGACTGGGTGATGGGCACTGAGGGGGGCACTTGGCGGGATGAGCACTGGATGTTATGCTATATGTTGGCAAATTGAACTCCAATTAAAAAAAAAAAGAAATATTCAGAGTGATTGTTACCTTTGGGCTAATAACCCATACAAAGGCCAAAGAACAGGTTTCTTTCTTTCTTTTTAGAGGGGGGCAAGGGGCAAAGGAAGACAGAGAGAAGCTCAAGCAAGCTCCATGCCCAGGGCACAGCCCGACGTGGGGCTCAATCTCACAACCCCAAGGTCATGATGTGAGTCAAAGTCAAGAGTCAGACAGTTAACGCCACCTAGCCACCGAGCCACCCTAGAACAGGTTTCTTTTAACAATAAAACAAATCTATGGGTTTGAAATAAAAAGTGCATATCACTGAAAGAGATAACATGGTATTGCCAAAAACTAATTGTTGCTTAATGCTTAAGAATCTTGAATTCTGGCAATCTGGAATAATTTTCATGGAGGTTTATCATATTTTACAGTAGCCCAACAGCTTAGATGATATCCAGAGAACTGAGAATTGAGTAAAACATATTTTTTCTAACACTAATCTTCAAGGGGCAATTTCTTCTGTTAAGAGAGAGGATACAAATCATTCTGTGTTTTTAATTTCATAGTAGTACTTTTCCTAATAATCAGCCCTTTAAAAGGAATTCTGATGAAAATACTACTAATAAGTAACAATCATACTCATCACTAGTCAAAGAGAAAAATGATATATTCATTTTAAGTTCTGTTTTTAATTTTATTCTCTATCCATTATATATTTGGCATGCTACAAAGCCAAACAATTTTCTTGCTTAGCCAGCATTTTGACATGTATTTTTTCTTCTATGTCTGCACAGAGTAAATTAACTTGAATTTTTCTTGCGCTAATAATAACAGTGGTAAAGAGCACAGGCTATGGGAGTTAACTGACTGAACAGTCAATCTTGACTCTGTCACTTAGTAGTTATATATAACGTTGGGCAAGTAATTAACTTCTCTGTGCTTTGGTTTTTCCATTTACAAAGTGAAGTTAACATTATCTGCCTTACAGAGGTGCTGTAAAACATTTAGAGTAATGCCTGTACACAGTAAATATCCAATAAAAGTCAGCTGTAACTTTACATTAACTGAGACTGACTGTGTCATTCTACTTAACACATTGTTCAAAGAGAAGAATGTAAAGTAAATCGACTTGGCTGATGGTGCTCTCCAAATCATCAGTGTCATCACGAAATTTATGAATATATTTTAAAATTATACTGAAATACTTCAGTATAATTATTCAAACGTGTGTGTGTATATATCCACAGAAAAGCTGGCATGGCACTCACTCATTTGCTAGCGTTAAGAAAACACAGGTTAATGAGTTTAATTAAGAGACAGAGTAAGACATTGAAACGTTTACTTCAAGAGAGGAGACTTCTGTCCGTTCATTGTATCCTCATAGCCTAGAATAGTTCCTGACGTAAAAGAGACCTAATAAATATATATTGAGTGGTGCCTGGGTCGCGCAGGCAGTTGAACAGCTGATTCTTAGTTTCAGCACAGGTAGTGATCTCCGGGCGGTGGGATGGAGCCCCTCATTGGGCTCAGCAAAGAATCTGCTGGACTCTCTCTGCCCCTCCCCCTAGGCACCACACACAAGTGTGTGTGCTCTCTCTCTCTTAAATAAACTTAAAATGAGGGGTGCGAGGGAGGGCGCAGCCAGCTCCCGGAGGGACGGCGGCCCAGCTGCGGGCTTGGCCTTGGCCCCAGTCCCACCAGCATGGCCGGGGGACCGTGCGGGCCGAGACCTGGAGCCGGGCCAAAGATGACATCAAGAAGGTGATGGTGACCATCAAGAAGGTCCGGAGATGGGAGAAGCGCTGGGTGACTGTGGGCGACACTTCCCTTCATATCTTCTAGTGGGTGCCAATGGTGGACCCCCAGGAGGAGGAACAACAGAGGGCAGGTGGCGGGACGGAGAGATCCTGAGGCCAGGAGCGGCGGGGCAGGGGCACCAGTCCCCGAGGGGGTGGTCCTCTCATCCTGCTGGATCTCAATGATGAAAACAGTAACCAGAGTTTCCATTCGGAAGACTCCCTGCAAAAGGGCACTGAGCCCAGTCCTGGGGGTACCCCCCAGCCCAGCTGCCCTGTGTCACCTGCTGGACCACCAGAAGGGGTCCCAGAGGATGCTCAGCCCCCACGGCTGGGCCAAGAGAGAGAGATCCTGGGGGCATCACTGCAGCAGCACACATGAACCCTCAATGCTGACCAAGGAGGAGCCTGTTCCAGAATTGCTGGAGGCTGAGGCCCCCGAAGCTTACCCCGTCTTTGAGCCAGTGCCACCTGTCCCTGATGCAGCCCAGGGTGACACAGAGGACTCGGAGGGTGTCCCCCCCACTCAAGCGCATCTGCCCAAGAGAACTCTTGAGAAGGTTCTCAGAACCCCTGTAAGAAGCCGGCCTGCCTGTTCTGTTGCCCCAAGGGTCCCTTTGGCTTTTTACAAAAAAAGACCCTTTTGTAAAAAAATAAATAAATAAAATAAACTTAAAATGATATCAATTTATTATCTTTGAAATCTAAGCACATAAATCTAAATACATAATGTAAAGATACATTAGCATTTCTTAAGCCCAATACTCTGAAATCTAAATCATTAATACATAAAGCTTTAGGTGATGTTAAAGGTTAACAGTTTAACTGTTAGGAAGGTTATATTAGCTTTTATATTCACTTTCCCTATGACTGCCATAGTAGATAAACACACAAGACACAAAGACTTATTTCTAACTAATTAAAGGAAACTTTTCAAAGAAACGAAGATTATTTTTTTCTGTATTTACTAATGTTTGTTCATTATTAAGAAAGTAGTTTACATTTGTGTATCTTAAATATTAGTAATAAATGCCTAAAAAAGTTAACAACCTGAGACCTATGCTTCTAGATTTCCAAAACAATTAGCAAAGATAATGCTCTTAAAAATATGTATTGACTATTTATAGGCAAATATGGATTCTATAGATGAATCTTGTCAAAAGATTCATATTCATATGAATATGTGTTCATATTAACACAATCTTTTTTTTTTTTTATTAACACAATCTTTTATGGAGTTTTTTTTTTTTGAATTGCATTAGTTGCCAACAATTAATAGTGGCTCAGTTAACATAATGGTAGCGATGTTGAACTAATTCTTCACCTAAAAAAAAACAATATGTTCTACCTTAAATTCTTTCTGAAGCAAAGTGGAAAATAAAAAAAACAAACTAAACTGTAAATTCCAAACTACTTACCAGGGTTGCTATCATTGGTACTTAGTACAGCATCTGTGTCATTAATGTGATGAATAAAATCTGAAAATTAAAGAAAGAATATAGTTTAATACCAAAGGAAAGATGCTAAATCAATTACCCCCTAAAATCTTTAATCTATAAAAATCTTTTAAGATCTACTGTGTGGTAATATTACCATACAATGAACCAAAACTGCTTCATTATTAACACAGCTTCACTGTTCTCAGCTTTCTCTACTTAGAGGAATGATGTTATTGGCTTCATAGTTCCCATTATGGAAAACTCTTACATGATTGAAGATTTTAAAAAAAATCTAGCTACACAGTAAAATTTAGTTAAAGCCCTGGAATCAAGATAAAGCGTACAATAATTTTCTTATACTCACACTAATTGATGTAAGTATAGTTATATCTTACATAAAGTTTTAAAAGCCTGCAGAAGAGGAAAACCAACACTTATAACAGCAAAACTTACCTGAAGAATCAAAGTTTTTGCAAAGTGTTATATATGCTTTTATAGACTGAGGATTATATAGTTATTGCTCACATTACCACTAAGCTATACTAAAGGAAGTAGTAAAGTAAAAAACGTGCAGAATGGGAGAAGATATGCGCAAAAGACATATATGATAAAGAGTTAATATCTAAAATCTATAAAGAACTCATAGAATTCAATACCCCAAAAAACAAATAATCCAGTCAAGAAATGGGCAGAAGACATGAACAGACGTTTTTTCCAAAGAAGACATCCAGATGGCTAATGGACACCTGAAAAGATGCTCAACATCACTCATCATTAGGGAAATGCAAATCAGAACCACAATGAGATAGCACCTCACAACTGTCAGAATGGCTAAAATAAACAACACGGCAAACAAGAGATGTTGGTGAGGATACGGAGAAAGGGGAACCCTCTACACTATTGGTGGGAATGCAAACTGTTTCTGCCACTCTGGAGAACAGTATGGAAGTTCCTAAAAACTTAAAAATAGTATTACTCTATGACCCAGCAAATGCTCTACTAAGTATTTACCCAAAGGATACAAAAGTACAGATTTGGAGGGGTGCGTGCACCTCAATGTTTATAGCAGCATTATCAACAATAGCCAAACTATGAAAACAGCCCAAATGTCCATCAACTGAAGAATGAATAAAGATGTGGGGTACATGTATGTGTGTGTGTGTGTATTACTAGATTACTCAGCCATCAAAAAGAATGGAATCTTGCCATTTGCAATGATGTGGATGGAGCTAGAGTGCATTATGCTAAGCAAAAGAGGTCGGTCACAGAAAGACAAATACCATATAATTTCATTCATATGTGGAATTTAAAAAACAAAACAGATGAACATAGGGGAAGAAAAAAGAGACGGAAGCAACTCACAAGAGATTCCTATTATAGAGAACAAACTGAGGGTTGATGGAGGGACATGGGTAGAAGATGGGCTAAACGGGTGATCGATATTAAAGACACCTGTTATGATCAATGGGTGTTATATTTAAGTGACGAATCACTAAACAGTACTACTGAAACCGATATTACACTATATGTTAACTAGAATTTAAATAAAAATTTGAAAAGAAAAAGTATTTGCTTAAAATTCCAAAAAAGTATATGCAGATATCTGAGCATTCAAATCATTCTACCATTAATGAGAGAATGGGTAAAGGACATGTTTTCTTGATAGACTGAATTTACTTTATTCTGTTTGAGGTTAATCTTTTATAACCTTAGTAACCATTAAAAAAGTGTTTAATGTGAAAGTTAAATGAGTTGATAAAAAATGTGGGATTAGATTTTCTGGTATAAAGCAAGTTAAGTACATGAATCACTCACCTCCATTGTATGCTTCTTACGATAGTAGAATAGTAAAAAAAAAAAAAGTAGAGTAGTGCTCTAGGTTTTTATAGTATCTTCAAGGGTTCTTAGTGATAAGATTGGAGGTTATCAATCATTATCTACTTCCTGATGCTGAAGATTCAAATAAGACTAGTAAAATCTTGACACCAAGATTGGTATGTATAGTAGGGTGAATATTCTCCCCCTAAATCCATGTCCACAACAACCTTAGAATGCAACCTTATTTGGAAATAGGGTCTTTGAATATAAAATCAAGTTAAGGTGAGGTCATACAGGTTAGGGTAGGCCCTAAATTCAATGACTGATAGCTTTAATAAGGAGAGAAAAATTTGTACAAAGACACACTGAGGGGTGATGTCTATGTGAGGACAGGCAGAAATTGGGTCATGTAGCCACAATCCAGGGAATGCCAAGGATTGCCAGCAATCACCAGAAACTAAGAGGAGACAAGGAAGTCTTCTTCCCTAAAGGCTTCAAAGGGAATGGAGCCCTAGTGGTACTTCAATTTTGGACTTCTAGTCTCCAGGACTGTGAGAGAATAAATTTCTTTTGTTTTAAGCCAAGTAGTTTATGGTAATTTGTTACAGCAGCCCTAATACAGCAAGGTTCAACAAGGACAGTATGAGAAAAAAAAGAAAAAAACATCATAGGCTAGTATAGTATCTCTTTTGAAAAGACCCAAAGGAAAAGAAAGACACAAAGGTTCTAAATAAAACAGTAGCCCCATTCCTCTTGAAAATAAATTGAATCCAGTTAAGAAATTAAAAGTATACATCATGACTGCTAAATTAAGTTTATCCCAGGATATAAAAATGATTTAAATCATACAAAATGTATTCATTTAATTTACCACATTAACAACTTAAAGTAGAAAAGACTGGAGTGTCTGGATGGCTCAGTTGGTTAAGCGTCTAACTCTTGGTTTTGGGTCAGGTCATGATCTCAGGGTGGTGAGATCAACCCGAGTCAGGCTCTGTGCTGGGTGTAGAGTCTGCTCAGGATTCTCTTTCTGCCTGTCCCTCTGCCCCATCCCACTCTACTCACACACACTCTCTCTCTCTCAAAAAAAAAAAAAAAAAAAAAAAAAGAGGAAAAAACATTTATGACTGTCTCAAGGGATGTAGAGTATTAAGCATCTGATAAAATCCAGCACACATTAATAAAAATTCTTAAGGAAATAATAGGCAGGAACATCTTTAAATTGCTAATGGGTGTAACCAATACCGCACAACAAACTCAATATTTAATGGTGAAAGATAAGGATGTCTACCAGCACTGCATCTATGTAACTTTACACTTTAAAAAAGATAAATATGTCTATATATGTGTACATATAAACATTTATATGTTGTTTGTGTATACATAAGGATATATGTATATAAATATAAATGTATATATATATATGCATGAATCACTTAAGTAATAATTGGGCAGAAAGTTTTCACTACTCATGGATGATGTAACTATCTAAACAGAAAATGCAAAGTGAATCTACAAAATTAGAATCAATAAGAGTTCAACACATCTGCTAGATTCAAGATAAAGATCCCAAAATTAATTAGGTTATTTTATAATAGCAACAATTTACTTGAATTTTTATAATTAAAAAATATATCACTACTTTCTGGGAAGATAGAATAGTTTCATGAAGGGGAGGTGGGTTTCATGGATGTATTCATCAAAGTTGTATGGCTAAAATTTATATGTTTCTATGAATAGAAGTTCTATTTAAAAAAGAGAATTGAATATATAATGGTTAATGGAGGTGAGGCGTGGGTATAAGCACAGGTCATGTTTTTTCAATGGATAAGATAATGACCCCAAGGGGGAAAAAAAAATCTGTTCTGAGGGCGCAAAAATAAAAAATCCCTTACTCTTTTTATATATAAAGCACAAATATACACACAGTTCATATAGAGATAAAAGTATATCTGTGATATTAAAACAAATTGAATGAAGTATATTTTCCAGAATTACAAATGACTTTACTTTATCCCAGGTCCAGAATTTAAGGCTGAAAGTAAAACAATGCAGTAGTTACTGTACTTTAAAGCAACTACTGTTAAAGCATATGATATAGATACTTACTAAAAATAAACCTTCCAGTATTAAAAAGAAAATTAGACATAAGCACCCAATAAACTATCATTGCTCCAATGAGAGATACCAAGGAGAAAAGGAGACTCGACCATTGTCCAAAGGAGCCAAAATAGTATCTGCACACATCTGGATATTCCCAGGTAGTGGTATCCACTGATGCTAAATAAGAGAAAGAATAAAATTAGGTGTTAATCACCCATAATCATAATTAATTCAAAATACTTAATAAGATATTAAGAATATATTCCACCACCAGACATCAGACCATATAATCATATAACAGAAATTAAAACATTATAGAACAAATACATACAAAGGTCAATAAAACAGTATAGATAATATAAGTAAACTATAGTATGATAATATTTTGTAATTAATTAAAAAAATAATAAATCAAGGCTAGACAAAAATCATGACTCTGAAGATATTATTCAATATTTGGCATACTTAAATAACCTACAGAGAAAAGTTTTCCTGAGTCATACTTTATACCACATGCCAATTTCAGACAATTGAGCTAAAAATTCAAAAATTAACAGAAAAGTTAGAAGACAATGTAAAAATAGATCTTGAAAGGTTATTCTTTTCTATCAAACGAAGAAATAGAAATTGCAATGGAAAAGATAGGTAGATATAAACAAACTCATATTATACAAAAGCCATTCAAATGTTGGATGGAAAAGAAAACTGACAAAAAATAATGGATAAAGGGCTAAGGCCTACAATCATGCAAAGAACTTAGTAGATCTATAAGAGCACCAAGGACCTTGAGGATAAATGGGAAAAGGATACAAATAAATAATACAATAAAAAGAAAATATACCACTGCTTAACAGAGACCAAAAACAACAACAACAACAACAACAACAACAACAAAACAAAGAAGGCAAAGCCTGGTCTCTTGATTCAAAATTGCAAAAGAGGGCACCCCCTGTGGCGCAGCGGTTTAGCGCTGCCTGCAGCCCAGGGTCTGATCCTGGAGACCCAGGATCGAGTCCCACGTCAGGCTCCCTGCGTGGAGCCCGCTTCTCCCTCTCCCTGTGTCTCTGCCTCTCAGTCTCTCTCTCTCTCTCTCTCTCTCTGAATAAATAAATTTTTTAAAAAAAGTTTTTTAAAAAAACAAAACAAAATTGCAAAAGATTCACTAAAATAATGTAGGCCTAGTTAGGTCCTAAACTACTTTAAAACAATCTAAAAAGGTATTTCCCTAATCTAGAATTTATAGAGAAGAGCAGAGGCAATGTATTATTAAACTTTGTGAATTCGCTAAAATGGATATGTTCATATTCTCATATTTTTCTAGTTATATTTTCTACTTTTAGGTGATTCCAACATTTAGATCTCTTGGTAAGGAAATATCAAGTCACCATTAACCAATAAGAATCATAGAATTTTCTTTACTTTTTTTTTAAAGATCTATTCATTTGAGAGAGAGAGAGCAGGAGAAAGGGAAAATTCTGAAGTAAATTCCCTGCTGAGCATGGAGCCCAACGCAGGGCCTGATCCCAGGACCTTAAGATCATGACCTGAGCTGAAATCAAGAGTCGGATGCTTAACTTACGCAGGCCACCCAAGGACCCTAGAATCACAGAATTCTCTATTTAGTTCTGGAAAAGACTTAGGACTACAAACCTCTCTGAATTTCAAAGGCAGTCACTAATACATTGACTTATCAGTTCAGTTGAATGCTACACATTAGAGAAGTAAATTCTTTAGGCACAAAATATTTAACACACGTGTGTTAACACACATGTACACATTAGTGATCTACTTCAACAAGAAATACTTATCAATATCCAAATTGTTATTCCATTTTCACCATGGCAATCTCTTACATATCATAGCTCGTGATTTCACTACTCTGTAGCAGCAATAAAGTGTTAAAATGCCCATCAGCATGATGACACACATTCCAGTAGTAAAGCCAGCCTGTTTAAAAAAAATATAGAACATATATTATCATGTCAGAATGAATGCATATGCAAAAATATTAAACACTAAATAATTATGATAAAAACATGACAATGTTAAATTATGTATTTTCTTTACTAAATGTTGTATAGATTTATTAAAACCCCTGTTGTAAAACTTTAAAGAGAAAATAATTCAGGCAAAAAATGCGCTGAAAAATTATATTACCTGTTTTATGCCCCAAGGAATACTTAGTATAGATGTTCCCATCATGGTATTCCAAATCATAAAACTGAAAACACAGAGTAATAGCAGTAAATATATGGAGTCTGACTCTTTAAACATTTTAATTAAGATAAAAATTTAAATAACCAGTATTTTTCACTTACATATAGTTTAAGTTATGCTCCAAAAAGAAGTTTTACTCACATGGTTACTAAACTGGTGTTTTTACCATATCCTTCAGTGTAACTTTGAAGTTTATAAGCAGAACCCAACGGACTATATACATAGCACTCTTCTGGAGCTGGAACTACATGATCTGGGGCAATCTAGTAAAAGAAGAAATGTCATAAGAGACATGTTAGAACCAGTAAATGTGCAAAATAGGATATTTTCTATTCATCACAATACCTGACTCTAGACACAATTCTAAATATTGTGAACAAACAGCATGTATTCCTGATTAATGAATATAAAAAACCCTTTCCAAATGTAGTAGAAGATCTAAAGGACCAAGAGTTTAAAGAATAAAAGCAATAAAATGTTCATGTGAAATGACAATTAATTTTTAAAATATACAAATGTCAAAATATCTTTCTCTTTATTTTCAGGATAAAGAAAGAAGAGTCAGCAAAGAGTGAGATTAAGGAAATCTGGATGGAGGAGATTTAGGCCTAAAGTGAGGGGAATTTCAAGAATCAGGGTAGTTTTAGAAAAGAGATAGGTAACAAACTCAAATCATAAAGAATTGACCTGTCAATACAAGGTAAAGAAAGAAAATATAAAAACAGACCATTCTTTTTTTTTAAATTTTATTTATTTATTCATAGAGACACAGAGAGAGAGGGGGGCAGAGGAACAGGCAGAGGGAGAAGCAGGCTCCATTCAGGGAGCCCGACGTGGGACTCGATCCAGGGTCCCCAGGATCACACCCCAGGCTGCAGGTGGCACTAAACTGCTGCGCCACCAGGGCTGCCCAATACAGACCATTCTTTCAAATGCTTACTAAAAGCATTTAAAAAGTAGAAGATAAAAGTGAGCTAACATAGCCTAAAGGAAGGCAAAGCAAGTTTTTTTTTTTTTTTTTTTTAAAGATTTTATATATTCATTCATGAGAGACAGAGAGAGAGATGCAGAGACATAGACGGAGGGAGAAGCAGGCTCCTCGATCCCCGGACCTGGGATCAAGCTCTGAGCCGAAGGCAGATGCTCAACTGCTGAGCCACCCAGGTGTCCCCGAAGCAAGGATTCTTAAAGATGGATATTGTAATCAAAGGGCAAGGAGCCAGAGAGAGGTTGGAGACACAAAGAACGACTGAATAGATACATATTTCTTATACATAGCTCTTATCACCCAAACATATCTTCTGAAGTCTACCTCCCTAGAGAGAGAAAAAAATTAGTCTCCTGGAAGAATTCTGCCCACCTCCCCGAGAATAGTACTCTGAAAACATGTAGTCCTATACACAGTAGTAAAGACGTGGGAGCTGACTGGTATAAATCAGCAATCTCTTCTCTTTAATTCAATTCATTCATTCATTCATTGTGTGAGTTGGGGGAGGGCAGAGGGAGAAGGAGAGACTCTCAAGTAGATTCCATGCTGAGCCCAGAGCCCATGTGGTGCTCCATCTCACTACGCTGAGCCAAAACCAAGAGTTGGACATTTAGCCACCCAGGCACCCCCTCCCCCTTTTTTCCTTTTTTTAAAGTAGGCTCCATGTCCAACATGAAGACCATCACAGAGTCTGAACTCATGACCCTGAGATGAAGACCTGAGCTAAGCTGAGGAGTCAGAGGCTTAATGGACTGAACCACACAGGTGCCCCTCAATAATCTTTTATATTTAGCACCTACTATGCATATTTTCAACTCTGTGCTAGCTTTAATGTTCAAAAAAACCCAAAAAAACCCAGAAACAATACAGTCCACAATTTTAGGAAGCTTAAATTCCAGCTGGAAGACATATGAAGCAATTAGATAAGGTTATAAGAGAGAAAAAATGAAGTTTGGGATACTGTATTGTAGGAATGACAAAAAATTAACAGGGACTAGAATAGTTGGGGAAGATGTCAAGGAAGTGATGGAATACTGGGCTTCAGTAGGTAGACAGGATATGGACTGGCAGAAAAAGAAAAAGTGTCAAGTTCTTCTCTATGCATATAATTTATAGTATCTTGTGGGTAAAAAATGTCTTGAATGCTATGCCTCGTGTGGCTTTGGAAACAACTATTTCTGAGAGCTAAAAAGGCATATATGGAAATGGGTCTGCTGGCATCTCTTTTACCCTTAATGCTCCTGGGTCTGAGTTCGATTATCTTCTTCAAGGGAATAAAAAGAAAACAGGGGAGGGACCATATCTGCATCAAGCAGGAGATAAACCATGATACCTAGCAAAGTTTAGAAAAAGTGAAAATCAAAAGTTACAAAAGCTTGGGTAGAAGAAGCTCAAGGTTAAGAAGTTACAGATTCTTAAGAGTCATAGACAAAATGGAGAATTGGATTCCATACTCTGGCAGTAATTTAGGGCAGTGCTTTTCTTCCTTCCTTCCTTTCTTTTTCTTTCCTTTTTTTTTTTTTTTAAGGATTTTATTTATTTATTTGAGAGAGAGATAGAGAAAGCAAGAGAGTGAGCACGACCTGGAACAGGGCAGAGGGAAAGGGAGAAGCAGACTCCCCGCTGAGCACAGAGCCCAATGCGGAACTTGATCCCAGGATCCTGGGATCTTGACCTGAGCTAAAGGCAGACACTCAACTGACTGAGCCACTCAGGAGTAGGGCAGTGCTTTTCAAATTTGAATTTTCCTGTGACTGACACAGGGATATTGTTAAACACAGATTATGATTCAGTAGGTCAGAGTAAGGACTGAGATTCTGCATTTTTAGTAAGTTCTCACTGATGCCAATATTGCTGGCCTCTGCAGGACACATTTTTATTTACAAGGATCTAGATGTTGGCAGTCAAATAATTTTCTTCTTTCCTGCATTTTAGAATAAAAATAATAAGATAATTGAGGAAATTTTCAGAAATAAGAAGGTATAACTCTGTAAAATCCTGAGACATGTGGTCTCACACTGTTCTTCCCTTAAAAATCTTCAGAAAAATAATTTTGGAATTCTCAGGAAATGAGCCTGGATGTATACATACATTCATTAAAAATGGTTATGTCTCACTGTTAACTTTAGATCACTGTTTATATATTTTGATTACTAGAGTCATCTCAACTGTCAGTTAACAAAAGCTATTCAACTTGATGTATAATGCTGACTTAATTTCCAAGCAAACAATGTCCATTCAGGCCTAGACTGGCCCAGCTGGTATCTCTGACGTTTATTTCCACAAGTAGAGCCTCAGAGGTCTGAATTAGACTCAGAGATACTGGATTACTTCTACTCCAGAGGGCTTAGATAATTCTGTTATAGAACCAAGACTTTACTACAAGTACTGATATAAAGGCCTAAGGCAGGAAAAAAATGAAAAAAAAATTGGGGAAAAAAATGACCCCACCCAGAACACTTTGGAAGTCATTACTCTGGCTATACAAAAAGAGATCTTAATAACTCACAATGCTTTAAATGAGGTATCTAGGTTCAAGAGACATCTCAATCCTTGCCCCTCAGTATACATCTAAAGAATGTTGGTTCCTTTCTCCTTTTTTTATTACCTATAAAAATATCATTTTTTCCACCAAGAATGTTTTCATTTTTCTTTAAGCTTTCAAGTTTCTGAATATCTCATAAGCAACCAAATTACTTCCAATATAATTTTTGATCCTAAAATAATAATATAGCTTTTAGAAGATCAAGAGTTAACAACTATGGCCCATGGTCAAATCTGGCCTTCAACCTGATATTTTACAGCCTCTTTGCTAAGAATTTTTTTTTCTTTAAGCTTTTATTTTTTTTATTCATGAGCGACACACAGAGAGAGGCAGAGACACAGGCAGAGCTCTTAGAACTGGGGACTAGCAGAATTTAATCCAACAAATTTCTTAGACTATTGTCAATAGAGAGAGATTGTTTCAAATCTCTGTCATGCTTGATAAGAATGAACTAGCCTGAGATGTAAGACATGTACTAATTAATTACTATCTTGATTTTCCATGATGCTATCCTTGGAATTTGGCCAGCAAAAAGTTCAATCACTGGGAGTTTCCTTGGCTCATGCTGTTCACTGTTCATTTCAACTTAACCTTAGACAATTAGCAATGTTTGCCCTTACCAGAGCCTTGTCTGCAGGAGCGGTGAGGCGGCTGTAGTAATGAATCCTCTTGTTCATGGCAGAGGCATGGTCGCTAACCCTCTGAATGACATCATTCACATTGACGATGTTTGTGGGCTCTATATAGAAAGGCCTAGAGAAGGGAATATACACTTGACAAAGAACATTCAGCCAGAGTTTCTGGAAGGCAGCCACTGAAGAAAATAACTTCTTGTCCTCCATTAGAAATGGGATGTACCAAGGCAAGGCATTCACTTCTCACTTTTGGTGGGAAAAGAAAAAGTCACAAAAGAAGTTTTATCCAATCCACAGACTAAGCTTTTGTCTCATAATACTATTATAAATACACTTTTCTAATCTCTAGGAATTTAGCAATAGAGGAGATATAACAGAAAGAGCTTCAATCAGTTATTAAAAAGAAGTATAGCAGCTGTCAGTTTTCAACAATGAAATTTAGACCCACACAGCTTTGAATATTCTCTCAAAAAGCTTTTGGCCCTAAATCAAAGAAATTATTGTCATAAATGTTCCTCTACTAAAGAGTCTCCACTCCTTCTTTATGGGCCTAAGTTATTTCCTATGACAAATAAAATATCTACTTCTTGGTTCATGTACTAAAGATTAGTGATCTCAACCACTTCCCTTGTGAAACTTGTCCAAAGTGCTATCAAATGGAACATCAAGACATTAGAAATATTTTGCCTTATTCTACTTTTCTTGGACTTCAATAACAAATCCCATTATGCTATTATTCATGTGTATGCTTCTTTCCCATAACTGTGTCTCAATCAACTGCAGCTTCTGGTTTTTAATCATCATTTTCAGCCATTAACCCTGCCAGTTCCTTACCAAAACTTCCTCAATCTGCCTTCTAAGCTTCCAGTAACATACTCCAAAACTGAAAGACCAGGCAGAAAGGAGTGCCTTCCTCCACTGACTCTCAAATCCCTCAAAGTCACAAATAATACTGTGCCCCAAAGTACCTATATTTTACTTCCAGATTATACACAGATACAAATAACGAAGGAAAAAAACCCTAGATTTCTCTGGTTCCATATAATTCTTCTATACTTACATTCTGAAACAAGTTTAAAATTTATGTTAGTCATAGCTGTAATCATGACAGTATGGTACTGGCGCAAAAATAGACACACAGATCCATGGAACAGAATAGAGAACCCAGAAATGGGGCCTCACCTCTATGGTCAACTAATCTTCAACAAAGCAGGAAAGAAGACAGTCTCTTCAACAAATGATGTGGGGAAAATTGGACAGCCACAGGCAGAAGAATGACACTGGACCACTTTCTTACATCATACACTAAAATAAACTCCAAATGGAGTTTGTGGATTCCTGCCTAAATGTGAGGAATCCATCAAAATCCTAGAGAAGAACATAGGCAGCAACCTCTTTGACCTCAGCCACAGAAACTTATTAGACACATCTTCAAACGCAAGGGAAACAAAAGCAAAAATGGGGACCTCATCAAGATAAAACTTTTGTACAGAAAACAGTTGACAAAACTAAAAGGCAACCTACAGAATGGGAGAAGATATTTGGAAAGGTCTTACCAGATAAAGGGGTAGTATTCAAAATCTATAAAAAACTTATCAAACTCAACACTCAAAATTACAAAAAAAATCCAGTCAATGGGACACCCAGGTGGCTCAGTGGTTGAGCGCCTGCCTTCGGTCCAAGGTGTTATCCTGAAGTACTAGGATCGAGTCCCACATCAGGCTCCCTACATGGAGCCTGCTTCTCCCTCTGCCTGTTGCCTCTGCCTCTCTCTCTCTCTGTCTCTCATGAATAAATAAAGTCTTAAAAAAAAATCCAGCCAAGAAATGGACAGAAGACATGAACAGACATTTCTCCAAAGACATACAAACGGCCAATAGACACATGAAAAAATGCTCAACATCACTCGGCCTTTATGGAAATATAAATCAAAACCACAATGAGAGGGGCATCTGAATGGCTCAGTGGTTGAGAGCCTGCCTTTGGCTCAGTGCATGATCCTGGGGTCCTGGTATCAGGTCCCGGATCAGGTTCTCCACAGGGAGCCTGCCTCTCCCTCTGCCTATGTCTCTGCCTCTCTCCCTGTGTCTCTCATGAATAAATAAAATCTTAAAATTAAAAAAAAAAAACCTCACAATGAGATACCACCTCATACTGGTCAGAATGGCTAAAATTAACTCAGGAAATGACAGATAACAGGCAAGGATGTGGAGGAAGGGGTACCCTCTTATACTGTTAGTGGGAATGCAAACTGTTGCAGCCACTCTGCAAGACAGCATGGGGGTGCCTCAAAAAGTTGAAAATACAGGCACCTGGGTAGCTCAGTTGGTTAAGTTTCTGCCTTCAGGTCATGATCCAAGGTCCTGGGATCAAGTCTCACATCAGACTCCCTGCTTCTCCCACTCCCCCTGCTTGTGCACTCTTTCTTTCTGTTAAACAAACAAACAAACAAACCTTAAAAAAAAAAAAAGTTAAAAATAGAGTTACGCTATGACCCAGCAATTGCACTATTAGGTACTTATCCAAAGGATACAAACATAGTGATTTGAAGGGGCACATGTATCCCAATGTTTATAGTAGCAATGTCCACAACAGCCAAACTATAGAAAGAGCCTAGATGTCCACTGAAAGATAAATGGATAAAGAAGATGTGGTAGATATATACAATGGAATATTAGCCATCAAAAAATAACAGAATCTGGCCATTTCCATCAACATGGATGGAACTAGAGGGTATTATCCAAGCAAAATAAGTCAGAGAAAGACAAATATCATGTGATTTCACTCATACGTGGAATTTAAGAAACAAAACATGAACATAGGAGAAGGGAAGGAAAAATAAGATGAAAACGGAGACAGAGATAAGCCATAAGAGACTCTTAGCTATAGGAAACAAACTGAGGGTTGCTAGAGGGGAGATGGGTGGGGAGATGGGGTAACTGGGTAATGGGTATTAAGGAAGGCCCTTGATGGAATGTGCACTGGGCGTTATATGCAACTGATGAATCACTAACTTCTACCTCTGAAACTAATACTACACCGTACATTAATTAAATCAAATTTATTTATTTATTTTTTTAAAGACTTCTTATTTATTTATTCATGAGAGACACAGAGGGAGAGGCAGAGACATAGGCAGAGGGAGAAGCAGGCTTCCTGTGGGGAGCCTGATGTGAGACTCAATCCTAGGACCCTGGGATCATGCCCTGAGCTGAAGGCAGATGCTTTACCACTGAGCGAGCCAGGTGCCCCAATTAAATCAAATTTAAATAAAAAAATTTATGTTAGTCATTTCTAGAGACGTTAATCTGATCTTATGGAAGGAAGTACCTGAAAAATCAAGTGACTGAAATTTCAGTTTCGGTTATTTTCCCCACTACTAGATATTAGAGAAATGATAGTATAAATGTTAAATTTAATCTTATCGCTTGTTAGTATACAGAATCTCTGAATCTTTCTTTTGATATTTACTCTCCACCACAGTATCTAAATAGGAAAGGTACTCTCCAGTTCAATCCAGCAAATATCTTAAAGTTGAGCACTTACTAGAGCAAATATGTGGATATAGAGATCAACATAACAATTTATTTATACTAAGGGATTTCAATAAATCTGAAGGGGATATAAAGAAAATGAAAGTGTCAGAGGCTAAGTAAACTATACCTAGTTAGAAATCTGGTAGCCTTAGATAACTAACTACCGACCCTCGCAAAGCATCACAGTGTTCTATATAATTTGTATATTTACTGTGACAGCAGTACTAAAAAGCAATGCAAAAATATTTATGTCCAGGAGACAGTTTAATCAGATCTGGGGTCACAATCTACAAGCATTCGTTTCTTTTTTTGCAAGAATGATACCCCACAAAATTCAAGAAAGAGTTACAGCTTTAATGCCAACATAAAGCATAAAGCAGAGATTGTAACTAATCAAGGATAACTAAAAGAGACTAACAAGTATGATATTAATAAAAGGTGTGGAGGTTCTACTGGTAGCTTTTTACTCTAAAAATTCAACAGTATTAATATCAACCACTAAGCTGGCTTGAAGGACTGCTGAAAAGCAGTCCAGGAAGTGCTACATTTTTTGGCTCCTGGCCTCTAACAGAAGTGTTAACGGTACCAGTTTAGTTGGCTTGGGTACTCTGAGAACAGAATGACTCTGAAAGTTCTTCTTTTCCAACAGTTTTCATCGAGATGCTGAGTGCCTGTTCAAACAAATATTTTGGAATCTTTTCAAAACAGATTCTCTTTTAAAAATAAAGAAACTATCCATCCAATAATAATCCAAATTATTAGAAACATATGCTTAAAGCTCCATCTGAGAGAGCAAAATATATAAATTACATTTCTAAATTGAACTTCAGTTGGCTCTGAAAACACTTTTAAGATTAATAAATACAGAACAATATTAAGAGTAAAGTATTTTTGAAACGGGCTTTTTCTTTTGAACATGGTTTCACATGACTGCTCCCTATCAGTGTTATTTCCTATTTGAAATGTAGCTCAACTGTGCAGAAAAAAAATAAACTAAGATATTTTATGTAGAAGTTATATTTGTTTTACCTTATAAATATGTATGATCATACTACAGAAAAAACACTTCTAACATTTAGCAAAATTTTTAAAATATTTAAAAATGTGACTCAAAATCCTATATTTTTATTTAATACTCTTATAAACAGAGAAACATTATTTCTACCTAACACCTTTTCAAAGTTCCACTCCTTAAATTCCTTAAAAATTTTTGGCTTTTAAATCTATCTCCACCCTTCTAAAGACCAGTTATGCTTCTCTGAAGTTTAATAACTCAATCCCATGATTAAGGTTTATACTCAATATGAAGACCTATGACTTAAAGATGTTCCTTTATTCACATCTCTATGAAAGCTGAAGCACTCCAACATCTGCTAGATTGGGGTAGTTTGTTAAGAAATGAAAAGGGAATCAAATATTCAAAAATCTCAAGCAAATAAACATTCAAAATAATGAGTCTGCTATACGTGTTTCTTACGTGTTTCTTCCTGCTTGGTAAAATGCTACAGTAAAACGATAGGTCGGATACGCAGCTTTTCAATAAAGACAGAAAAGAAGTTAAGCAAGCCATTGTACCTAGAAATTCCTTGCTGCTACAATAAAAATATTGGTGACCTGTAGCTTGCTAATGTGTTTCTCACTTCCTCTGTTGTTGTACAACATCCTTTTTCACAAAAACCCTCTTTACACTCCAATTTCACTCAATATTATCAAAGGCTGGGCCTAAGGATTTTCTCTATAATGGTTAATTAATTTGTACTGGTTCTCAAGTTTTTAAAATATTACTCAAGTACCAAGCAAATATTAAGCATTGTTCTAAATGTTTAACAATCAGTAAGACATAGAACCTACAGGATCATAATCTGCTAGAAGGTAAGCAATTCCAATCCCGAAGCAAAAAGAGAGAGAGTACTTATGAACAACAGTGGAAGCAAAAAAGAGTGAACAGAGTTGTGTGGTGCTAGGTATGTGCAGTGTACTATGTGATCAAACAGAAGGAGAAGCTAAACCATGTCTGGCAGATCACTGAAGAAGTTACAGCTGAGCTGAATCCTAAAAGATACAGAGTCAGTCAGGTATGGGAAAAAAAAGGAATGAAATAGTGTTTCCAAAAATAGTATTTCCATGTAGAAAGAACCAGGAGAGTGAGCATGATGTATTTTTGAAACTCTAAGGAGTAGAAAGAAAAGTGGTAAGACATGAGGTAAACTTGGACGAGGACATGGAGGACTTCACATCCAACAAAGGATATGATACTAAAGGGAAGAACCCCTAGTTTCCGTCTCCTTTGTCGATTCCTTCTCCAAATCCAACCCTCAAATAATCAGAGTAACCCAGAGTTTAATCCACTGACATTTTCTCTTTATCTAGACTCAATCTCTTGGTGGACCCATCTAGTCATGTAAATTTAAATATCATGTATATGCTAATGGCACTCAAACTATTATCTTTAGCCCAAACTCCTGATTCATATTATCAGACTGCTTTTGCCACCCCATCTCCTCCACCCTATCTCTTGGACCTCACTGCTTACCACACTAAACACACTAGGCTCCTGACAATTCCTGAAACGCTATAAGCATGCACCTACTCCAGGACCTTTGTTACTAATTTCAAGTAAAAACAAAGTCTCTGAAAGCCTTTCCCCTAGATATCTGCATGGCTTACTTCTTTACTTCTTTCGATTCTTTCCTCACTTGAGGAATGAGGTATTTAGATACCCTTGACAGCACAGCTAAAATTTCAACCCATCTTTCTACCTTTGTCATTTCATGTATCTTCTCTGCTTTACAGTATCTCCTTAGCATTTATACTAACACAACATATTTATTATTGGTTGCTTCCAGTAAACATAAGTTTCACAAAGGCATAAGTTCCACTTTTGTCAATGTGGTCACTCCCATATTTTCCCATAGTTCTTGGCATATCATAAAAGCTCATTAGAATATGGTGCATAAAATATGGTGTATAATTTTAAGAAAAATTCTATTTTGAAATGATTTTTTAAAAGTAAACTCTACCCCCAACATGGGGCTCAAACTCATGATCTGAAGATGAAGAGTTACATGCTCCATCGACTGAGCCAATCAGGTGTCCCAACATTTTGAAGTAATTTAGAGTCACAAAGAAGTTAGAAAAATAGTACAGAGAGTTCCCCAATGTCAATATCCTCAATAACCATAGTATAATCGTCAAAATCTATATTACTTTTACAATTAGCAAAAAAGTTAATGAAAAATTATGGGGAAAATTCTTTCAACTTTTCTGTAGGTTTAAAATATTTAAAATAAAACTTGGGGGAGAAATGATGGAGGGAGTAACCAAAGTGTCAAATACAAATACAAAATGAGAAATAACCTGTACAAAAGTTAATTTAGTATGTTAGTGTGTTTCCCTCAAACCACTTAAAAATTTTTCAGGAGGACAGAATGATTAACTGTGTCAAATGCTACTCCTAAGTCAAATGAGATGAGAACTGATTAATGAAATGCCCACTGGTGATAGTGATAGGAGCAGTTTTAGTGGAGTAGCAAGGCAAAAGCCTGTCTGAATTAGGTTCCAGGGAAAAACTGGATACGGTGAGTATAAATAATCCTTACAAAGAGTTTTCTGTAAAAAGGAGTGAAAGAAATGTAGTAGTAGCTAAGGAGTTAAGTATAAGTACTACAGAAAGCATTAAAAAAAATATAACAAATACAATAATCACCTATAATCCCACAATGAGTAGTTATTAATAACACTGGCCAACCTCATTCTCCTGTAAGAAAAATGAGATTCCATTAAATGTTCACCAGAATTGCTGAAATTTTTAAACCTGACAATACCAAGCACTAGCAGGAGTAATGGAAACTCTTACTATAGTGGGAATGTAAACTGGTTTAAACTCCTGTAGAAAAGAGTTTGGCATTATCTAGTTAAGATGATATGTATGATACACATACATATATCCTTGGTAAGTTCTTGCACATGTATGCTAAGACAAACATACAATAATGTTTATAAGAATGCTATTTGTAAGAACTCCACTGGAGACAACCTAAATGTCCAACAACAGTAGAATGTATATGTAAACTTTAGATACTCACAGAATAAAATATCAGAAAGCATGGGAAAGAACTATTGCTACATTCAACTTGGATGGAAATTACAATGCTGAACAAAAATTCTAAAATAATACATATAGAATGATCTCATTGACATAAAGTACTCAAAAAGGTAAAAATGAATTCAGTACTTAGGGATGCAAAAACAATAAAGAAAAGTAGGGAAATGGTCATACAAATGTCAGGAGAATGGTTACCTGTAGGGAGGAAGGAAAATGTGTTTGGTGAAGGACCTATGAGAACTTCTGGGGTGCTGCTGTTTCTATACCTTGGTGTTGCTTGCACTGGTGTTGGCTTTATAATTATTCTTTAAATTGTACATATAGGGGTGCCTGGGTGGCTCTGTTGGTTAAGTGTCTGCCTCTGGCTCAGGTGATGATCTCAGGGTCCTGGGATGGAGTCCCAGCACCACCTTGTTGGGCTCCCTGCTCAGCAGGGAGTTTACTTCTCCCCCCACCCCACCTTCTCTGCCCCTCTCCCTGCTTGTTCTCTCCCTCTCTTAAATAAATAAATCTTTAAAAAAATTAAATTGTACATATGTGCCAAATAGTCTTCTGTATATATATCATGTGATAAAAGACTTTTTAAAAATATTTTATTTATTTGAGCAAGAGAGAGTGTGTGTATGCAAGAGAAGGAGAGAGAGAGAGAAATAGGTGGGACCTTTACAAAAAAAGGTTTGCCACCTCCTGCCATAGACCACTGAAAGTCTCCTTAGGGACTTAAATTAGAGGTAGAGAAGTAGGACTTCTATTCCCTCTTCCTGGTAGGTAGAAAGGGTAAGCAGGGAGGAGGCTTCATGCCCTTGCCACATCTGTCATGGAGCACTAAATAGGTTTTCTCTTTAGAAATGTTTGTAACTAGATGTTAGTAAACTTCATCCAGCTTAATCCTTTAGAAAATCTACCACCTACATATTACAAACAAAACAAAAATCAAACAAAAGAACTTCAACCCCAGTCAAAACACATGATCACAACAGATGTTCTTACCTAGAGCAGTGCCTGCACAGAAAGCCCCCAAAACACCTAGCCATCAGTACTACAAATGGCCTCATTGTATTCCTGGCTGGGCTCAGCCAGACCCTACAGCACAGTTACTCACAGGGATATAATTCCACAGGGTTCTTGGTAATGCTGGCTTAGGATGGGATAAACCAGTATTTTTCCTAATGAAAAATGAGTACTGAGTTAAAAAAAAAAAAGTTAAAATCAAAATATTTATAACTGCTCATCATAGCGCTCTCTTTTTTCAGTGTGTGTCTATCTCCTTCCCTGGAAGTAGGTAGGGGCTGTGTTTGAGTACAGTACAGGAGCTTAGTGAATGTTTGCTAACTAAAGAAAACAATATAAGAAGGATAGGAGGAGGGAAGTGGAAAGGGGGGGGATAAAGACATAGGAGGCAGGCAGGGAGACAGCTAGGCAATAATAGGCATTAGGAATGAATTTAAACCGAATGAGTAGTATAGTAAATTATATATACTATGTGACCTCAAAAAAAATCATAGAAAAGAAGGACAAGATGAAATATGTCAAAATATTTCAATAATGCTTGCCTCTGTGCAATGGAATTTCTTTATGCTTCTATTTTTGTCAGAAACTGCCTTATACCCACCAAAAAATCTCCACTACGTAGAGAAAAAACATGATCTGTATCATTCCACAGAAGCACAGTGATTCAAACAATGCCTTTAAGAAAATGGGTTTTCATTTTGCATATACTACTTTAATCCTAAATTATAAAAATGCTATTTTTCCTTTTCTTTTTAAAAAGATTTTTATTTATTTATTTATTTGAGAGGGAGAGTCTGAGCGCTGGGGGGTAGGTGGTGGTGGTGGTGGTGGTGGTGGTGGTGGTGGTGAGGAGCAGACCCTGTGCTGCTGAGCAGGGAGCCCAATGTGGGGCTCGATCCCAGGACCCAGGGATCATAACTTGAGCTGAAGGCAGACACTTAACCAACTGAGCCACTGAGGCACTCCTGAATGCTATACTTCCTGAATAACTTGGTTCTCATTATAAAAGTACTATACTGCCCATATTGAAGATAATATATAAGTTATAGAGGAAAATGAAAACCATTCATTAGAAAAAAATCATTTCATATTTTGATGCATTTCCAAATGCACATAGACTCACATACACGTTTGTAAGCATTTAGTAAAAAGGTGTTCCATTTTAGAAAAGTAAGAGCTGAGAAGAAAGGTGAGAAAAGTGGACAGGATAGGGAAGAGAATAGGAGGAAAAAGAAGGAATAGAGGGAGGGTATAGAAGTAGCACTGCAATCAGCAAGTTGGCCATTTGCTCCATGTCACTGATATACAGTCAAGACCCTAGTCCCATCTACTTCACATGGATGGGACATTCCTCAAAATGTAATTTATGCAGCTCTGGAAACCAACTGCCCTGGGAAAACTACTTTTCTAACTTTTGTTATACTTCTCCATAATCTTTAACTATGGAACTACCGAGCCTCAGTAACCATTTCCGATCCCTATTACTAGCCCCCAATCTATCTTTACAAATTATTAAATTCCTCACTTTGCTTTGTTATTTCTTCTCTCTCCCAAGACCACAAGGACTCCAAGAGTCAATTCAGGCTGCTATTCAGGAATAGTATTATTGCCAGATGAAACATAGAGGCCAGTTTACATATGTGCAAACTAGTAGGCATTCTAAAAAACCAGGGGCTGTGGCACAGTGTGTTTGAAGGCACCAAGAATGCTTTTTTTTTTTAAATTTTATTTATTTATTCATAGACAAAGAGAGAGAGGGGCAGAGACACAGACAGAGGGAGAAGCAGGCTCTATGCAGGGAGCCCGATGTGGGACTCAATCCCTAATCTCCAGGATCACAACCCAGGCTGCAGGCGGCGCCAAACCGCTGTGCCACCGGGGCAGCGCTGCTGCTTATTTTCAATACCTACCTCTATCCCGCTGGCTTACCGGATTTCTTGCAAAGTTGTCAATTACAACAACAACAAAAATCTAACCTTTAGGTTAGGCTTTTATATTTCTAAGATTCTCTACATTAAAATGCAAATAGCCACGGAAAGGTAATAGACTAGGTCTGTGACTAATCAGATTGTTTTCCATTAAAACACTGGCGCAGCGGTTTGGCACCGCCTGCAGCCCGGGGTGTGATCCTGCGGACCCATGATCGAGTCCCACGTCGGGCTCCCTGCATGGAGCCTGCTTCTCTCTCTACCTCTGTCTCTGCCACTCTTTCGCTCTCTCTAAATAAATAAATAAATAAATCTTAAAAAAAAAATCTTAAAAAATAAATAAATAAAACACCAAACAGGGCAGCCGGGGTGGCTCAGCGGTTTAGCGGATGGCCTAGTGCCGCCTTTGGCCCGGGGCATGGTCCTGGGGATCCCAAATCGAGTCCCGTGTTGGGCTCCCAGCATGAAGCCCGCTTCTCCCTCTGCCTGTGTTTCTGCCTCTCTCTCTCTCTCCTCTCTGTGTATTCTCATGAATAAATTAAAATATTTGAAAAAATAAATAAAAAATAAATAAAACACCAAATAGACAACAAATCCCTACAAGAATAGGACAGATAAATACTAGTGAAAAGGGGGTGAGGAAAAGTATGATTTACCAAGCATTGCCTAAGAGGAAACTCCTGGTAAATTATTGCCCTGGGGAACACTAGGGATACAGAGAGGAGCATGAAAGCCCTAGGCCCTAGGAAAAATGGAAGAGGTAATGTTGGTAGAAGAAAACTGAGAAAGGGGAACTCATAAACAAATTAACCACTTTACAATCTGGTTTCAGGCTAGTTGGAATGTTCAACTCCCAAGGGGTATAATCCCAGTGCAGCAGCACAGTATGAAGCAATCCTGAATACCAGCTCTATCTTTGGTTACCAAAGTCTGGGAAAAGCAGGATAACAATCTCTCAGACCAGTGATTGCCAATGGAATATATCACATATAACATGGGAGATTTCTTAACCTTTCTGTCCCTCCACCCACATTCCAAACTCCACCCTAAACCAGGTGAAAAACTTGAGGGGGAGGAGAGGTGCAGAGAGAGAAAAGTGCACATGTATAGTTCATAGAAGTTCCTCAATGACCAAATGGTTGACATGTATTCTTTTTCTTCCTCCACTTGAGTCTAGTTAAATCCCAGTTCCACCAATGTGATAAGCAGATCCAGCACACTATCAGTTCAAAGAAGTTCTTAAAACTGTTACATTTGAACTGATAACATGATTTTGATTGCCACCTAGTGGGAGAGAGAAAATTAATCACAAGCAAAACTGAGGAAGAACAGTCTAAAAGAATCAAATGTTTTCTATACTCGAATGGCCAGTTTCCCAAAGTGTGGTTACACATAAGATAATTTTTAGGTAGCACAAGGATTAGTGCTATCTTAACTACTTGATACTTATCACAACACATATTAGAATAAAGGATAAATAATACTTAAACTCATCATTTCACAAATCTGTGAAGATGTGGCTAAATTAAGCCTAATTTTAAGAAGTAAACAGATTTGGGATCCCTGGGTGGCGCAGCGGTTTAGCGCCTGCCTTTGGCCCAGGGCGTGATCCTGGAGACCCGGGATCGAATACCATGTCGGGCTCCCGGTGCGTGGAGCCGGCTTCTCCCTCTGCCTATGTCTCTGCCTCTTTCTCTCTCTCTCTCTGTGTGACTATCATAAATAAATAAAAAAAATTTAAAAAAAAGAAGTAAACAGATTTTAAAATATATCTTATAGTATTACACAATATTGTAATGGGACATCACCAAAGTTATATGGTAACTCTAAAATGATCAATGTTTTAGAAAAAGTTATCAAAGCTGGCTCTTCTAGTGGAACATAACTTCCCTCAGTGTGTCTGAAGTGTTTTTATGCATATAAAGTGAAGTAACCCATTCTTTTAATAGAACTAAAAATGTGTTTAGGTATTCCTACTTCTTTTCTCATCAAATAATAGTTCCTATTTTCTTAAACAGAAATTACTTGACAAGCAAATTGGTATTCAATA